GGGGGGGGGGGGGTCCTCCAGCTGCCGCCTCGTGATTGTGAGGCTCCGGGGTCCCATGCGGGAGGGGCTGGGCCAGGGTCAGAGGTGAGGGAGGCCGGCGCCCCCGCACCCCACGCGCAGCTTTCTCTGGCGCAGGGAAGAGAGGAGGCAGCAGACTCGGCCCCGAGCTGCCGTGTGACCTTGAGTAAGCTCCTCCTTCCCCCGGGTCTCAGGGTCTCATTAACCTGCCGAGCGAGCGAGCGAGGCCTGACTGAGCCCCTGGCATTCCCGGGCCGGAGGAGGACGGCCCCGCGGCCCCAGAGCGGCCTCCCCCCTCCAGGGCCCTGCTGGCTGCGTCCCGGCCAGCTGCGTCCTGCGGGAGGGGGGGCCCGGCCGGAGGTGGCCCGGCGCTCAGCCGTCTTCCGGCAGCCCCGGCCGCGCCGAGCACAGGAAACTGGACTCCTCACCAGCTGTGTGGCCTCAGGTCCCACTTCCTGGCCCATAAAGGGGCCGAGGGCCCCCGTGCTTGGGGACGGGGTGGGCAGAGCACCAGCAAGGTCCTGGGAGAGGGAGGGTCCAGGAGGTGCTCCGGGAAGGTGGGCTACTTCCTCGGCTGCACAGGCCCCATCGGCCACCGCAGCTGTGGGGTCAGAACAGCCCAGCAGCGGCCTGTCCCCTGCCCCTAGGATGCAGGACAGTCTGGGTGCTCAGGCTGGCACTCAGGGCCTCGGAGACCTGCCCCCTGCAGCGGCCAGCTCCTTGGGCTGTACCCCCCAGGCCGCTGCGAGGGGTGGCCCAGCCTCCTCAAATCCCAGCCTCCAGGCCTGGCGCAGATGCTGCCCGCCCTGACCCCAGCCTCAACCTGGCGGGCATCCCACGGCCCTGGCTCCTGCCCACCTCTCATGCTTGGGCTCCGCGCCAGGGGCACTGTGGTGTCTGGAGGCGAGTGCCAGCTGGGGACAGGGGAGGGACGGAGGCCTGTGGGGCCGGGAGCCAAGCTGGCCAGGTGTCCTGGGGGTGGGGCGTGGGCTGCAGGGAGGACACTGGGGGTGGTTAGGTGTTTCCTAACCAAGTGAGTAGTTGAGGTCGGAGGCTAGCAGGGGGGGACTTGGACGCTGAGATCCTGGAGCCCCAGGATGTTTTGATGGTTTGTGGGGGCGTGTGGCAAACGTTTAGAAAGCCTGGAAACTCCAGGGCGTGCGGTCCCTGCGGTGAGGCAGCTGACCCAGCGCGGTCCACATCCGCTTGTCTGAGGAGGAGGAGGAAACTGCGCCCCCCCCCCCCCAGGCCCCGGAGGTCAAGGAGCTGGCTCGATGTCACACAGTGGGGACAGGATGCAGGTCTGCAGAAGAGCTGCATCCAGAAGCCGGGGTGGAGCCCACCTGCTGCTTCGTGCCCTGTGGGCCCCGGGAATGTCCCCCCTCCCCCCGGGGCGTCTGCTGCAGTGACCCAGGCAGCTGGGGGACGTCAGTGGCAGTGGAAGTGAGGCCAGGAGGGCTGGGAGCAAACCGCTTCCCAAAATAGCTCCGATAAGCACAGGGCGGGAGGGCCAGCCAGGCCTCCCTCCTCTGTCTGTTCCTCCTCGGGGGGCCGTCCCGGGTCACACCCATGCCCCTGAGCCTGGGGACCAGCCTGCGGTGCACGCGGCTGGGGAAGGGGGCTGCTGGAGGAGGCAGCTGGGACTGGAGTTGTGTCGGCAGGGATGGGGTGGGGGGAGGCGGCCGGCGGGAACGGCTGGCTCTTTGGCTTCTCAGGAGCCTCTGAGTGGGTCATGGGTGGGGTCTTGGGGCCTCCCACCTGGGCAGGCAGGTGGGTCGAGGCCAGCAATAGCTGGAGTGGCGCCCCCAGGCCCTGGAGGGTGGCTGCCAGCCCCTACGGGCCCTGCCACTCTGATCCTGGGGGCAGCTCCCCATGGGGTGCAGGGGAGGGGGAGGGAGAAGAGGTGTGGGGGGAGGGGGGCAGGGGCGCCCCCCCTGAGGGCCCTGCCCACCCTTCCCCACCCCTCCCAGGCTGCGAGCGGGACCGCCTGGCCTTTGGCTTCTGTGAGACCCTCCGCCTGCTGGGCCGCTGCCAGCTGCCTGCCGTCCGCACCCAGTGCTGCCGCTCGTGCCCCCCGCCAGGCCACGGAGCCGCCTCCCGCGGCCATCAGCGTGTCGCCCGCCGCTGACCCACTGCAGCCAGGTCAGCCGCACAGACGGACTGTCCCAGACGCACAGACCTCATGCCCCGGCGCGGGCTGCACCCCACAGGTGCTGACCCGGCCCGCTGACGGCGGGCTAGGGACCTCTCCCCCAAGAAAAATATTTTTTTAACAGTTTGCATAACATTATTATTATTATTCATAAACGAGCACTATGGTTTTAAACGCGCTTTGCCTTCTCTCGGATCAGGACGATTTCAGGTCAGACGCGCTGCCCTCAGCCTCCCGAACCACCGCCCTGCACGTGCTCCTCAGTGAACCCCAGGAGGCGCGTGCTGGCGGCCGAGGGAGTTCTTCGGGCCGGACTGCAGCTTTGCAGAGGCTGGCGGGGGGGGCCAGTGGTCCTGGGCGACATTCTGCCCCCCACTTCAAGCCCCCGGCCCCCCCCCCCGCCCCCCACGTCCCCACTCCAGGAGAGACCTGTGTTCCACAGTGAATGGGTCGCACCCTCCCTCGAGCAGCGAGGCGTCTCTGGTCTGCAGCAGGGACTGTGCCCGGGGATGACGGTGGTGGGGTCTGCGAAGCCCCCCTTCCTGGCCCTCCCCGCTCCAGCTGTTACCTGCACCGGGGGGACATGGGGGGCCAGGTAGGAGCATCGGGCGGCCACATCCCCACCGGCCCCCGCTTGTCCCTTTCCGACATCTCCGTGCTTAGAGACGGGCTTGCGGCGGCCCCAGTGCTGGGCTCTGGCTACACGGCCCCCTTCCTGCCAGACAGACCCAAGTCCGTGGAGCCAGACGCGAGCACAGTGGGTGGCAGGTGGGCACGAGGTGGTCTGGGGAGCGTTCTGGGCTCTAAGCAGGAAGGAGGCTGGGAGGGGGTGAGGCCCCAGCCCTTACCTCTGGCCCTAAGCCTTGGACTTGACCTTCTTAAACTGTGCTCATGAGTCCTAGTCCTAGAGGGTGTAGACCCCTTCTCCACATGGGGGACACTGCGGTTCAGAGAGGCCAGGCCTCCTCCCCCATTCAGGTCCCCAGCCTGTGCCAGGCACGTCCCGTAACGCACATGGTGGTCCTCGGGCTGTGGGAGCGACGGCCAGGCGGCCACTTGTGCGTCAGCTGAAGGCACCAGCAGGTGTCTGTCCCGGGGACTGGGCCCCCCGGGGAAGGCGCGGAGGGAGTGGTGCCCAGCTGCTCTCCCGCTTCCCGTTCTCCAATCGCACCCCTTCCAGTAAGAGGCTCCGCGTGGGTCTGGCTTGAGCCCCCCCCGCCTGCACTCCGGCTGCCCCACGGGGGTTTCAGCAGAGCCAGTCACTCTGAGGTCACTTCAGGAAAGTGAGTCACGGGGGCTTGTGGGAGCCCCGGGATCCTGCACCGAGGGGCGGGGGGTGCGGTACAGGAGCATCAGGCTTCCTTCCTGTGTGTGTGACAGCTCTGGGGACCCCGCTCGGACAACCTCCGTCTGGGCTCCACCCCGAGCAGGGGCTGGAGGCAAGGGCGCGGCGCGGCGCGGTGGGGGGGGGTGTCCCTGGGGCGGCTCTGCTCCTGCTGCGTGGCCTCAGGAACCCCCAGGCAGGTCCTCCCCTGCTCTGTCTGGGAGTCCTCCCCGGGGCCCCCTCCCCCACACCGTGGAAACACATGTGGTCTTAATCATTCTGGTGTGTTTTTCCGACGATGGGGGCTGAGGAGATGGCGTCCCCAGTGGCAGCTGAGCGGTCAGCCCGGACAGGAGGCAAACAACCCATGACTCAGGCGGGGACGGCCCAGCTGTGACCCGGGGGGCTGCTCAGACGCAGGGCGGCTCCCAGCCGAGGCATCCGCCAGCTTGGCCACGGCTCCCAGGGCCATGCCGCCGCTGACCGAGGAGTCCCGTCCCCCACGCCCCAGAGCAAACCGAGGGCAGGGCCCTGAATACCTGGCTGGCAGGCCAGGAAGGCCCCGTAAGGCCCGGGGGCGAGCCCCGTCATGAGTGACTGTAACCACATTTCAAACCACGGTGTTATACAAATTAGTAGTTTATTTGGCTTCTTAGTAGGACTGTCCCCAGGTTTAAGTGGAAGATGAGCACAGAAGCTGTAGGGACGGGGGAAGGCACCCGCCCCCCCCGCCCCCCACCGTCTCCAGCCCACAGGCTGCCTGTGGCCGGCCAGCCGCCCAGGGCACCTGCAAAGACCACGCACAAAGCCGAGGTGGGCATTTGTGCAAGAATGCACACATTAAGTTTAGGAAAGGAAAACGTGCTGGCTGTTCGCCTAGAACATTTCCTATATCGACACGATGGGGTAGAGACCAGCGTGCCCGCAAGTAACTAGGGAGCCGTCACCGGGGAAGCGGCGCCAGCGTGAGCCAGGGGCGGGGGCGCCCGCGGCCCAGGAGTGGGGGCAGCCCCGTGCTCAGGCTTGCACACAAATACAGGGAGCGTACGCAAAGGACTTGTATAAAATAGATGTACGTAATCTAGAAAAACCTTGATAAAAATATAAAAATATAAACTGTAGTGAAAAATATACAAAAGTATTAACGTGTTCAACCCACGAAACAAGGACGTTCACGTGCAAGCTGGCAGGTGCCCCCGCGCGCTAAGGGCTCCCCTTGGCCATGGTACACGCCTTCGGGAGAAGCGCCACCACGAGGCCCAGCTGGCAGGGTCCCCAGGTTGGTGCGAACGCTGTCGGCCCGGGGAAGGAGGCGGGAGAGGGTGGCCCCAGGCGCTGTGGTTCTGGAGCGAAGGCCCCATCCTGTCCCCTCCTGCCCTCCGGACACCAAAGGAGACGACAGCGTCCCAGGCCCGTTCCCCCGCCCCCGCTGCTTTCTTGCTCGCCCCCTGCCACGGACAACCGTCCGGAGGCGCCAGCACAGCACAGCCGGCCACTCCCAGAACCACAGCTCCGGCCCCGCACAGTGGGCCCCTGGCGCAACCCACGCGTGTTTGAGATGCATCTTTCTGGGCAAAACAGACAAAACCAGCCTATTCCTACAAGCACGCCCCCCGCCCCCGCCCCCGCCCCGGCAAAATCGACTGCAGTCTGATCCTGCTGCACACCCTCACCGCTGTCCCCCAGGCCGGCAGCCTCGTGGGGGCTGGGGCGGGGTCTCGGGCCTGGGAAGGGGCTGCAAACAAGGACGCTACCAGCCACTCCCGGAAACAGCAACGTCGCAACATGTGTGACACCTGACAAACCAAGTCAAACAACCTATGGACGGAAAGTCAGTCTGCGGAGATGCCGACTGCTCGACGCGGGGACGACGGGGCGCCCCTTCCTGGGAGACAGGCCCTTCTCCAAGTCACACCGGTTCAGCACTCAGGCGCGTCCGGCACGTATCAGCTAGGGGCGGGTTCCGGTTTCTCCAGGGAGGGTAACAATCCCACCTGAAGCTCCTTCCTTCCTGAGGGAGTCTGTGCCAGGAAGCAGTCTCACGAGTACGCGTCAGGGACGGTCCCCGGGGCAAGGAAGCAAAAGTCGACTTCCTCGGGCAAAGCCTCTTCCAGAGAGCCCTCCGGCTGCAGAGCGGCCTGGGCGGTGTGAGCCCACGGCGAGGGGCGCGTGGCCTCGGGGAGGGACAAGGACGCTGCCGGAGCGGGTGCCGGGTGCCCGTGGGCAGGGGACCCTGGCTGTCACCCAGAAGCCACTCCACTGCCCCGCCCCCTCCCTTCAGCCAGAAAGGGGCTTCCGGGAGGTCTGTGCCAGGCCGGGCGCGGGCCGGGGGCGGGCGGGCCCGGCCGGCGCCCCAGGCCCTTCACTGCCGGAAATGCCGGGCACGGAGGAGCCGGCGCTATTCCAGAGCTGGGGCGACGCTGCCGGCCCGCCCGCCGCAGAGGGCGTTTCTAGAGGCTGAGCGCGGGGCACTTGCTTTTCTAAGGCCTCTTTTCACTAAACTTGTGCCCCCAAAGCAGCCACGCTGCGGCCCGGGAGTGTGTGAGGCACGGGGCGGCCGCTCAGCCGAGGCCTGGGCTGCACTGGGCGCAGGCGAGCGCGGCAGAGGGGCTGCTGGGGCAGGTTCCCGAGGGCGCGAGCCAACGACAAACCCTACGGACGCGTGCTGTAAACGGCGCCTGGAAAACATCCAGCCGGTTCCCCCGGGAACGCACCAACCACGCGAGCCAGGGACACGCGCAGCCACGTGCCACGGCACGGAGACGGCTGTAAACAGACCAAGCCGCACCGCAGGCGGAAAGCAGAGGGTGCGGTGTGGCTCTGGGCGCCTGCCCGGCAGGTCTCCAGGGACCACGGGCGCTACATTCGGGCTTTTAAAGGAGCAGAGGCACCTCTGCGTTGCCCTCTGGCACACGTGGGTTGCGGCGGCGAGAGCAGCATCGGGGGCGGGCGCTCAGGTGTCCTCGTCGTCGCTGAGCAGCTCCCCCTTGTCAGGGCTGGCGTCCCGCTCTCGCAGGAAGTCCTCCCGGATGGCCTCCAGCTCCGTCAGCTCCAGTCGGACCTTCTCCAGGTGGTAGGCACGCCGGTTCCGGATCTGGCGCAGGGGGAACGGGTTTAGGTCCCCGAAGGAGATGCTGATCAGCTTCCTGGCGGGACAGGGACAGGGCGTTAGCGGGGCAGGACCCCGCAGGCGTTACCACCTGGAGGCCAGCCCTGCACCGCCTGGGTGCGGACACACACTTGCTGTGGCGTGAGGCAGGTGAAGTCACTTCCCTTTCCGGTGTCTGCTTCCTCGTCTACGGGCTAAGTCGCTGCCGCTTCCCGGGGCCTGGGGCCGCCAGAGCTGCCCCCGTGCTGTGCGCATAAGGGCAGTGCCTGGCACTTCCCCGGTGACTGCAGGGCCAGCAGCCGGAGCCTCGGAGCTCAGGAGGCCTGTCCCCAGACGGACCGGGGAGGAGTCCCGGGGGGAGAGGGTACCCAGGCCCACCCGCAGGCACCATCAGACCCAGCAGCCACACGACAGGCTCAAACACAGTCTGCAGACAGATGTGCACTTTACGGGTTTCTCACTGTCTCCAGCTGAAGGCACTGATTGCCCGCAGCAGTGGTTCAATAGGATCTAGATGAGAAAGTGCCCCAGGGCCTGGCACCAGGTGCAAGCCCCGCTTCCGCCGGCCTGGGGGCTTCTCCTCCGGCTGCAGGGCCCTGGCGCACCTCCAGCCCCAGGAAAGGCTGTGAGGACACAGCCACCCTCCCGGTGGGTGGCCTTGACACAGGGCTATCCTAGAATGTATTCTCCCTTCTGAACTTCCAGACACCTGCTCCTTAGACTGACTCCAGAGGACTCCCCTGCGGGAGGTCAAAGGTCAGCAAGGCCAGCTTCAAGTGCCAAGCTCCCCAGAGGGTTCTAGAACATGGGGAGAGCAGGACAGGCCTGCACAGAGCCGTGCCTCCTGCTCAGCTCTGCTGGCTGTGTGAAGGGAAATGCGAGCCTGGACCCAGGGCCCAGGGCCACGGGACCAGCTCTTTTCCCTACAGCGGTGGGTCCCGGGCTCCACACACCTGAGAGCTGCCTCCAGCCCCTCTCCACGGGGGGGCAAACAAAAGCACAAGATTAGCTGTTTTCACAGATCCCTCTGGTGGGCCCATCAGTCCAGTGGGTGCAGCAGGACACGCACTGCAGCTGGGTCAGGAGACGAGACCTGCTCTGTGGCCAGTCCAGGCTGAATACCGCAGGAACCCCGACTCAAGGCGGGTTTAATCCCATTAACCCGACGTCCCCTAAACACAGGGCACTTGGCACCCGTGCCCTCCTTTCTCGTGGAGCCGCTCAGTTACGTGGACTTGCCTCCCTGGATCCGCCAGCCTGGGGAGCTGAGTTAAAAAACACCGGGGTTCCCACCCAGCCACAGGGACTTCCCGAGGCCAAGTGCCAGGCAGCCATGCCCAGGGTCGCACACAAGGTGGCGCTGCGGAGCCCGTGGGAGGCGCTGCGCGGGTGCACTTCCTTGACCTGCTAGGTCAGCGGACGCTCAGCCTGCGCTCACAGGCATCGCTCCTGGCTTTTCACCCTGCGAAACTGAGGTGGCTTTTGCTGATCCATCAGCCTGCACAAAAATACCTTAGAAACGGCAAAGCCTTCTGGGGTGTCAGGTGTGGCCTCAGCCACCAGCCCCGCTGCCTGTACGGCCCTTCCCCTCCCCGGGACCTGGGCCCGGCTCCTCTCCCAGCGCCTGCGCTCTGCAGGCCTGAAGATTCGGGGGGGGGGGGGCAGCCAAGAAAGGGGGCACGTGTTGGCTTGCTGGGGGGCCTTGGGGGCTTTCAAGCAGGTTGTGACACATTGGTGGATGGAGGAGCCCACATGGTGACTCATGACGAGCATTTTGTAACAAAAAGGAAATGAAAAACCTCAATATCTAACACAGACCTTTAGCAAGAGCCACAAATATTTCAACAAATTCTGTTTAAGCTCTGGTGCAGGCAATTCAGATTCTGAGATGAAATGGTCTCATAAGCTACCGTCAAAAAAGTCTAAGGGCACCGGGGGGCTCAGTTGGTTAAACGGCCACTTTGGCTCAGGTCATGTTCTCACGGTCCATGAGTTCGAGCCCTGCGTCGGGCTCTGTGCTGACAGTGTGGAGCCTGCTTTGGATCTGCACCCCTCCCCCCAACGCTTCTCTCTCTCCCTCTGCTCCTCCCCCTGCTCGCACTTTCTCTCAAAAATAAAAAAAAAAGTCTGAAAGTGTATATAAGCTATAGACACTTCTCAGCAGAAAGACTGGGGGTTTTCCCGTGGTGGACGAGCCTGAGGCGGGAATGAGGCAGTGTGCAGGGAGAGGTGGCCCTGCACCACGCGGGGCAGCAGTGAACCGTCCCCTGCCCCAGGCCAGCAACTCAGGGTCCCCCAGGCTCCATTTCTGTCCCACGGTCTAGTCTACCCTTGGCCCCCACCCCCGGCCCCAGGTCTCCTCTCGGACACCAGCCCTCCTGTCTTCCCGACACTCAGGGACAAAGCCTGTCCTGCCCCACCCCGGCCCCAGCCCTGCTGCCTCACGGTCCCTCTGCCCAGGACACCCTCTCCTTGAGGCTCCCCGGCTGTGCTCACCCCACCGCTCCCCTGCACTCGAGCTCCAAGCCAGCCACGCCGTGGCCTCCCTCAGGTTGTTCACATGAGGGAATGTCCATCCTAGTCTCCCTCCGTGGCTCTCAGTAAATGCTCTGGACACTCAGTAAATGCTCACTGGACAAATAAAAATGCTGCTTCGCTGCCGGGACGGATGTTTGTTGGAGAAAAGATAAACTGCCGTCCGTCCTCGCTCCCCTGTCGCTGAGGCCATCTGGTGTCCCCAGCCTGTCCCCACGCTCTCCTGGGAAGCGGAGGCCAGCTCTGGCTCTCGCCACGACTCCCCCCCCCCGCCCCGGGACGCACCTGGCATCGAGGACAGTGCGCGTGAAGTAGCGGAGATACTTGAATATGGACATGGAGTCCTGCAACTTCAGGATCTCCTCCTCCTTGTATTTAAAAAGTGCCAGCGCGAAGCGGAAAATGACCTGCGGGCGGGATGGAGACACTGTGAGCAGAGACGCCCCTCGGCCCAGGGGGCCCACGTGGCCGCTTCCCGGCGCCCCACGGCGGCACGCCAAGGGCTGACTCCGGCCCCGTGGGGGCCCCTCACGCACCCGCCACCACACTGCCCAGCCAGCCCGGGAGCAGAGCCACCTTCGGTCCCTCGTAGAGGAAGGAGTCCCATATCTTGAAGAGGACGTCACTCACGACGCTGTCCACAAACACCACCAGGAACCAGTTGAACGTGATGAGCGTGTAGTCGACCTTGTGCTGTTCCAGGTGGCTGTGCAGGCGGGGGAGCTTCTCGCCCAGGAGGTCTCTGAACACCCGCTGGTCCACCTGGGGGCAGGGGCAGACCTGAGCTGCGCACGAGGGACCTCATGCACACAGGGCCCGCCCCGCTCGTGCCCCAAGGCCCGAGGACACAGGCCGCTTGCCAGGCCAGGGCTCCCGGCGCCACCAGAGTCCCAGGCCCGGGAAGAAGCGTGACGTCAGCACAGCCGCCGCACAGACGTCACGGGGCACGCAGAAGTAAGGCCCGCGCCTCCCGGCCGCCGCCGCCCCGGGAAACCTGCAGACAGACCCCCGCGGGGCACGTGATGCGGCACGTGACGCGCCCGGTGGGTGCTCCCCTGCGGGCGTCTCCCCGGAAGCCCTCTTCTCTCAGACGACAGGGTCAGCATCACGCTAAAGGTAGCGCCTGCCCATGGGAATGACAGCGCCGGACCGCGTGGGCCTGAGGGCGGGCTCGGGCCACTGGTGGGAGGGCGGGCAGCGGGGCGGGATGAGGGTCCGCGGGATGAGTGTCTGTGGAACGAGGGACCCCTTCTGCCGGTGGGGGGGGGGGGCTGAGTGAAGACAAAGGGCAAGAGACCAACCCCAGGGGGGAGCAGAGCCCTGTATCCATCGCGCAGCAGGCGCACAGGGCGGGGCATGGAGTGGCCGGCGCGGGAGGGCACGGAGGGCGCAGGGGGCTCTGGAGGGTGCGGGAGGGCACGAAGGATGGTGTCCTCAGCGCCTGCCGGGTCCTAGTGTGCAGAGAGCTCGGTGGATGGAATGATGGAGAAGCCGCAAGCCTCCCGCAGGGGTGCAGAAAGCAGGGTGCTGCCAGAGGTGGGGGACACAAGCTGCCCCCGTTTCAGAGTGGCCCACGCGGTGCTCGTCGTAGGACACATACAGTCCACGCCCTCCCCCAACGGGGTGGCAGCCACCCAGCGGGGCAGCCAGGACACGTCACGCCCCCAACACCAGCACTGAACGGAAGCAGGGAGAGAGCAAAGCGGCAGCACGTCCAAGTGCCAAGCGCGGTCTCCTGCTGGTGGGTAACGTGGTTTTCAACCTCTTCTGACCACCTTTCTGGGTCACCTGCTAGGTCCTTGTGAGATTCTGTGACTTTCACAGTCGGGGGGAAAGTCTCTTTACAGTTTACAATCATCTTCCTGTGATGGCATGAGACACAGTTTATGTTAATTCCACACACTTGAAATAGGTTTTCCCCTCCTGCCTGTTATAACTGAGTTTTTGCAATTCTAAACATTATGACAAACTCTTAAAGCATCGTCCGAATTCAACTTCAGGCATTCCGTACGAGGGGAGTCTGATGCTCATCTTACAGATGGGGAGACCGAGGCACAGGGCTGCTGAGTGATGTGCCCACGCTCCGCAGCTCACAGCCGGGAGCGCCTGGCTCAATGGAACTCAGACAGACGAAGGCTTCACTTTCATTATTCTGAGACACAGTCATCTGAGATTTTGAGTCCGTGAAGCTACTAGTGCCCAGGTGTCTGTGATACGCAGAACTTTATTTACTGACCCCTTCACTCCCCCCAGACAGTGACTCCTGCCCGTTTCCACTGCTCGTTTCCTAGTTCATACTCTATTCTGGCAAAAATAGCCTCTCTGTTACTTGGCAAAGCGAAGTGGTCACGGGGGCACCAGATGCGCCTCTCCTCAGATCGCTGGGCCCAGAGCCCAGCCCCCACTGTCCTCCCCAGCCTTCCAGAAGGAGTGGAGAGAGGTCAAGACCCCAGCTCAGGCCCTCAGTGATGGCTCCCCGGGCAAGGTGCTTAGTGTCTCTGAGCCCCACTTGTCTCCCAGGCAGGAGGGGGACCCTGACCTGCACCCAGACGGTTCTGTGCACACAGCTGGGGGTCACTAAGTGCCTGCTCCCTGACCTTGCCAGAGAGCTCTCACACGCGCAGCGCTTGCCGTGCTGCGTGCCACGATACCGATATGAAAGTTAGGGCCGCTGACCAGCTGCAAGCCCAGTAGGCACATGGGGACAGTCCCCGAAGCCTGGGCCGGAACATGGGCGGCCCTGGAAGAGCAGAAAGTGGCGCTAGGGCAGGTGCTCTCCGGGACATGGACAGGGTATCAGTGACCTAGAGAGTCACATCTTCGCCTGAGAACGGGGCATGACCGGCGAGCAGTTCCATCTGAGGGGGGCACGGCTGACCCCGAGAGTGACACGGATGCACGAAGGCGGGGTGCCCTGACAGCGGTCAGGGGTGGAGGGGAGCAGATATGAGAGCCGCTGGGCAGGCAGCAGTGACCAGAAGCTAAGTGCAGAGATGCAGGGAGAGAGAAGTGAGGGGAGGCCAGGTGGCGGGCGAGCAGGCTTGGAGGGCAGGCGGTGACAGAGGCCACCAGGAGGAGCCCTCTGCAGGCACACTTGCCGATCTAAAGCGAGACTCAGTCAGGGCCCAACCAGGCAGACAGAGCCCACTCCAAGTGTGCACAGCAGAGGGACCGCGGGGCCTTACCCAGGAAGAGGGGCACAGGGTGACGGACATGCTGAGATGCCAGGCAGCTGGTGGTGGCCCAGAGGCAAGGGCAGGAAGTCACCCCCAGACTGGAGCAGGGAGGTCCCTCTGTGGGGAGGGCGGGGGGCACCATGGTGCAGGCCAAGCCGCTGATGGGCAATACCCGTGGTGGGCGGGGGCAAGGACGGGCAGTGCCCGTGGTGGGCGAGGGGCAGTGCCCGTGGTGGGTGAGGGGCAGTGCCCGCGGTGGGTGGGGGAGCGGGGGCAGTGCTCGTGGGGGGCGGGGGGAAGGACGGGCAGTGCCCGCGGTGGGCGAGGGGCAGTGCCCGCGGTGGGCAGGTTAGGGTTAGGGGGGCACGGCCCGCACTCCTCTCCTGCTGCCCGTGCCGGCAGGTGCAGCGCAGGGCGTGAAGGTCAGGCCTGTGAGCAGGGCAGCCTGGTGGGGCGCAGGGACCTCGGCCTCAGCCCGGGCCAGGGGGGCGGCCAGGGGCCGCTCTGGAGCCAGATCTGCCCTGCAGAGACCAGCCTGGGCTCTCCCGGGCCCTGTGCCCTGACCCGCCCAGCCTCAGGGCCTCAGGCTCCGGGAGTTGTGGCCTGGCTCCTGCCAGGGCGGTGACTGCCAGCCCCGGGCCTGCTCCCAGGCAGGGGGAGACCACAGCGGAGCCCCCGTGCGGCCTGTTCTCGTGAGACACGGTCTCTCACTCGGGTTCCCGCTGGCCTGGTCACCACTTCCTGAGAACCGCAGCCATCGGGGATCCATCCCACTCAAGCCGCCTTCCCATCCCTGGTCTGGGGGCTCCCACGGCCTCCCCGCTCCCTCCCTGCTGCTTTGCAGGTGCCTCAGACATCTCTCCTTGCCTATTCCTGCTCCCCAGGTCCTAACCCTAAACACCAAGTCAGGCCATGCTGGGGAGGGAGGGAGGGTGTGGGGGGGGCGCCGTGCTGGGGAGGGAGGAAGGGTGTGGGGGGGGGCGCCGTGCTGGGGACAGAGGGTGTGGGGGGGACGCCGTGCTAGGGACGGAGGGTGTGGGGGCGGCGCCATGCTGGGGAGGGAGGGAGGGTGTGGGGGGGGCGCCGTGCTGGGGAGAGAGGAAGGCTGTGGGGGGACAGCTCTGCCTGGGGGGGACCTTCCCTACCTACTCTCGCTCAACCAGGCCTAGGATCTGCAGTATGCCCTCTGCGTACGACTGCTTCAGGGGCCAGTGTGCAAGGGCCCTCCCCCAGCCCCTCCCCCTCCCCCCTCCCCCACCAAGGGTTAATTCAGCCACGTTTTAGCAGCTTCTCCAGGCTGATGACTGGGGCGCAGTCTGGACATACCTGGGATCCCAACAGCGTCTTCGTGTAATAGTCTCGGGGCATGAAAACCTCCACTATGGTGACCAGACACCAGAAGGCGTCTTCTTGCTCCAGGTAGAGGAGGGCCACCGCCACCAGCCTGCACACAGAGGACAAACGGCAGCGAGGTGAGCGCCCTGCCTGCATGGTGGGGGCCCGGGCCGCACAGCCGGCCCGCCACAGCCCTCCTCGGGCCCCAGCGACGCAGTCGTCACTTCCTGCACTAGTGACGCATCTGTTTGTCTGTAAGTCACCTCTGCCCCCAACACAGGGCTCAGAATCACAACCCTCGGGTCAAGAGTCACGTGATCCACCGACCCAGCCAGCCCGGCGCCCTGGGTGAGGGGCGTCTGACTCGACTTCAGCTCAGGTCATGATCGCACAGTTCGTGGATTCGAGCCCCGTGTTGGGCTCTGTGCTGACAGCAGGGAGCCTGCTTGGGACTCTCTCTCTCTGCCCCGAGCCCCTCTCAAAATAAACACTAAGATAAATAAATCATGTTTGAGGCATAAAGGTACTATTCCCGCCAACCCTTTCATTTGGTTTTCGTTGAAAGATGGTGAAATTCTTTCCCAATGATCAAGCAGCCTCATAAAAAAGAATGCTTAGCTAACGCCGCTGACCCTGCTGTGCGCCAGGGAGAGGCGAGTGGAGGGTGGCTTACAGCCAACGGCTCCGAGGGGCCTTCAGAGGAGCTGCGGCCACGGCGGCCACGGCGTGCGTGCACGTGGGGAAAGGGGCCCCAACCATGTCAGGCTGCTCATGAAGGAAACCTGGGCCCAGCCATTACACTGTCTGTCCCCAGTTAAGAGGTGACCTCCCAGGGGCGCCTGGGTGGCTTAGTCGGTTGAACGTCCGACTTTCGCTTAGGTCATGATCTCGCGGTTCGTGGGATCGAGCCCCGCGTCGGGCTCTGTGCTGACTGCCAGCTCGGAGCCTGGAGCCTGTTTCAGTCTGTGACTCCCTCTCTCTCTGACCCTCCCCTGCTCACGCTGTTTCTCTCTCCTAGAACTAAATAAAACAAACAAAAAAAAAAATTAAAAAAAAAAAAAAAAAAAAGAGGTGACCTCCCAGCGATCCCAGGCCTGACTCCCAGGATCTGGACACAGAGCAGGGAGAGAAAAGCCCTTCTCTTCGCTACTGAAATCCAAGCGCCTCTATCCGCTCTGACACGGAGCTTCCGTGCCTCCCAGGAAGCCCTAACCCTACTCCTCTGAGGCTGGTTACAGTCTTTTTCCTCCTTGGAGAAAACTACAATGGATTCACCTCGAATTAAAACCTTCAAACGAGGGACATAGGGTAGGCGGAAGGGGGTGCCTCGGGCAGGCCTGGGCCGGACGGGAGAGGAAGCAGGCCCACAGCGCCCGCGGGTACAGGAAGTGGGGCCAGCGGTCTGCGGTCAGCACAGCCTGCAGGACGCCGCTTTAAGTGAGCGAAGTGTCCAGAAGCTAGGCCTGGATCACTCACGGAAGAACAAAATGTCCTTCTGCGGAAGTTCTGGGTCCTCAGAGGCACATATAAAATACCTAAAAGGAAAAAAACCCAACAACACAGTTAAAGTCAAGAGGCCCTAACGGTGATGGGGAGCGGGTGGAGGGTGCAGCTTTCTGGAAGTTTTGCTGTGGGAGAGTAGGTTCCACGGCAACACCGGATGAAAGGGGTGCCGGCGTACCCCCAAACAGGCTTGCCCAAGGGACCGCTGGCCTTCAGAGGGCTGTGGCTTCTGGAAACTGTCAGCCTGAGTATTCCCACAGAACAAGACTGCTCCCCACGCAGCGTCCTGTTTACAGCTTTCTCGTCTGTCTGTTTTTAAACGAGGGCGTGAAACGGGAGCTGAATCTCCCCTTTCCGGGCACAGAGGACGCCCGTCTCACCGTCACGGAGCGGGGGCTCCTGGGAACCACCTGGTGTGAACACTGCAGCTGAAACCTGCCTTCTGCAGCACAGCCACTCACACTCACTCACACACACTCTCACACACCCACACTCACACACATGGCCCTTACGGGAGGCCAGTATCTGGCACGGAGTGGGGCTCGGGGCCTGGGAGGGGCCAGAAAAAACCATAGCATTTGAACCCCAACCCCCGCCCTTGGCTTTTGGGGAGATTCCTCAGGAATGCACCAGAGCTTCCTCAGGCTTCGTGCGTATCTCCAGCTCCCCCTGCACGGAGAGAACGTCCCTGGATGAGCAGCGGCCACTACACAGACCCCAGGCACCCGGCAGCCATGGCACGCGGCTCTGTGCGGCACAGACCCCGGGCCTCCGGGGGCCTGGTCCTGCCCTAGCCTGGCTCCGAATGAAGAGCGACACAGCGGGCGGCTTTTCCAGTGTCCTCTGCCCACGGAAGCAGGGACGTGCGCGAGGCCCGCAGGGCCACCCAGGCAGCCTCTCGATTACCGGGAAGCTGGGTGAATGCGGCATGGCCGCCGGTGTCAGCTTCGGGCGTTTTAAATGTAAGTTATGTAAATTATAAGCATAAGCATAACTAAATCAAATTCTGGTCAAAACCCGAGAGTGAGGAACCAGAACGAGAAACGTAGTTGTTTCAGATAATGTGAGTTTGGTGGTGGTATTGTTTTCTTATTTTATTTTTTTTAAAGCGAGTGAGACGGAGAGAGAGAACCCAAGCAGGTTCTGGGCTGTCAGTGCAGAGCCCAACACAGAGCTCGAACCCACAAACATAGATCATGAGTGGAGCTGAAACCGAGTCAGAGGCTCACCGGATTGAGCCACCAGGGTTCCCAGGCCACACTGCATAATTAAAAGTCTCTGACTCCAACCTGGCCTGTGGGGAGGGGCCTGGGGGAGGGGCCTGCAGGGGGCCTGGGGGTGCCGACACCCACCTGTTCAGACCCTGGCAGTAGCCGATGTCCGGGTTCCGCCAGGAGAAGGCCAGCAGGACGTTGCGCAGCTTCTGCACACCCTCCGAGGTGGGGCACGCGTAATGCTTGTTGTTGGGCAGGGTCCGCAGCAGGTCCAGCTCGATCTGCTTGGAGGCCGGGTTCTGCTTCTCCAGCGCCTTCTGCAGCAGCGTCTGGAAGTACCCGGGCTCGGCGCTGCCCCTGAACTTCTTGGTGTGGAGGTCCACGCACCACTTCCACACCTTGGAGCGGTGCTCGTGCGGGATGCCGGCCCGTATCAGGCTCTTCAGCTCCGGAGAGCACGCCATCTCTCTGTTCATCGTGCTCGCAAAGTAGTTTTCCCACTTGACCCCGGTGGACACTTCCTGGTTTTCTGTGAGGTACAGCGTCTTCAGGTCCAGCGCGCGGACCTTGGCCACCAGCTTCTCCTCCTCGTCATCCTCTGGGACGGTCCTGAACCCGTAGATGTCATACTCACTGTTGAGAAAAACAGAAGGGAAAATAAAATGACACAATTTCAACAAAAACACCAGTGGAACAGCAAAAAGTATCCCCAGTGGGGACAGTGTAACCTTCTCCGTAAACAGGGTCAGGATGGCTGGCTGTCACTGGGGGAAAAGGCAGATCAGATCTCTTCCCGATACGAGGAGCAAAAATGAATCTGAGGTGGTTTACAGGCACGTGTGGAAAGCACGGAGATGAAGTCAGTGCTGACACATGCGTGTGTTTATGTCACACACGCACGGACAAGAAACGTCTGTGTTCGAAAAAGTCACTTTAAAAAGTGGAAAGACAAGAAAGAAAACATTTGTGTTTTCTGACCGTGGCCCCAAGGATGTCAAACCCCAGGGCCTCACATCTGTGATGAGGTCGCCTCACAAAAACCACACTGTGGACGGAGTCACAGAGGGGAGGCTGCCCTGGGTGGTCCGGGGACTGACGTGCGCACGGGAGCCCTTCACAGTGGGGGTCAAAGGAGAGGGGCCGCGCGGCCCACGGTCGCTGGAGCCCAGGGATGCAGTGACCTCCACAAGGGGGGGATGAACGTCACGCCCGCAGCCCTCGCTCTGCGAGCCCCAGAAACAGCGTTCTGCCAACAGCTCGCGCCAGCCTGTGCCCTGGAGCCTCGGGGATGAGCGTGGCCTGGACGTGGCGGCGGCAGATGCCCGAGCACGGCGATGTAGGCAGTGAAGTCTGTGGCCACCCGCCAGGCCAGCCACAGAACACCAGCACGCAGGCCTTCCGTGCGGGTCAGGGATCTGGAGGTCAGGGACCGGGCCCTGCAGGTGAGGGATCCCACTGCCAGTCTACACCCGACAGGAGCTCACACACGGACACGGGGAAACATGAATCACGATGCTCGCCTGCCTGTCTGTTAAAGGGACGCACGAGGGGAAGGAATAAAGACTTGAGGTCTGGGCACCACACATGCCTCCTCCCAGGAAGGCGCATGAGGCAAGAATGAAGCTCCCGGGAACCACATGTATCCACCTGGATGATTTCAGGAAATAATGAAGGAAGGCAGCTGCGACCACACAGAACAAGGTGGGATTCGTGCATTACACAGTGTCATCAGGGCGCCTGGGCGGCTTGGGTGGTTGAGCGTCTGACTCTGGACTTCGGCTCAGGTCGTGATCTCATGGTTTGTGGGTTTAAGCCCGTCGTCATGCTCTGCGCGGACACTGTGGAGCCTGCTTGGGATCCTCTCCCTCTCTGCCTCCCCGGCACGCGTGCTCACCCAGACATGCTCGCTCTCTCTTCAAGTAAATAAACTGACCAAAGGTTGCCATCAGTTACATGCTAGAAGCGCACACCAAAGTGTTCTAAGGTGAAATGACAAAATGCCTGCTATTTGGTTTAAAGTAATTCCGGGGGGCGGGGTTAAGATGAAACCAGACTGGCCAAACACTGGCAACTGCTGACGGTGCACGTGGGGCGGTTACCGGCTGTCACGTTGTAGGTTTGAAAGTTTAATAAGAAAGTAAAAAGGAGTCCGCGTGTATGGTTAGATTGACGTAAACGATGAGAGCCCGCAGAGCGGCAGGGAGGAGAAAGGCACGTCCGGAGCAGCTTGCCGGAGTGCCAACTGCCGGGCCCCATGACCTTGGGGTCCTCCCCAGCCTCGGCCCCCATGCGGCAGGAGGGTAAGCACCCACCTCACCGAGCGCTGAACGCACCTGCAGGTCCCCCACCCACGCGGCTCCCGGACGCAGGCCCCAACGGTGCGGGCGACGCTGAGCTTGGACGTGGGAGGCCGTGCCGACGAGGCGGGAGGCGTGAGGCCCCTGCAGCGCGGCCGGCCCGGAGCGGCCAGCGGGGGACACGGGGCCGAGTCTGCAGGTCTCTCCCCATCCAACGTCTCATGAGTCTCATGTCTCAGAAACCAGTACCTGACGGACCCTAACGGGACACCCGTCACAAGCTTCCAGGCTCCGTCACGTCCTAACGTGTGGACGTCCCAGTGAGTCCACAGCATGTGTCGGAGTCTCAGTGGGTGCTGGGCCACCTGAGCATTTTCCCCACTCGGGACCCCGTGGACTCGGACCGGGTGCGGGTGTGGCTCTGTCTCGGGACACAGCCTCGTGTCATGCCTCTGTGGACGGCCGCCGTGGCTGCAGCAGGGGGGCCTCAGCAGGGGCTCCACCACCCGACAGTCGCCAGACCTTACCTGACGAGGTGAGGCTTCACGAGCGCCTGTTCTGGCTGCTCCGGGCCCTCGACCTGCAGCGCATCCTCCAGCAGCTGGGCTATGACCTCGCGGGAGGGGCCCTGGTCCTCTGAGCACACGGGCGTCTTCATTTCTTGGAGCAGAATCAGGTACTTGCTTTCTATCTGGCAGAGCTTGGCTTCCAGGCTGGAATACTACAGAGAGTGCGGTGGTTACCTCCGCCCAGACAGACGCGGGATAAAATACCCTCAGGAACGTCAGGTGGCCACTAAACGGCAAGCCCCAAGCCACAGGAGGAGAGGCGGGGACCGTGTGGAAGGTAAGAGATTAGTTTATGTCACCGGTCACATCCCCTCCCTCCTGGGGCTCTGGCACGGAGGACCTGATGCCAACGCTCACATCAGTCCTGGGCAGTTGAAGGGAGTGGCAGGAACCAGACCATGAGCCGGTTCCCAAGGTCATGCTGTGTCCCCGGCATATGGGCCATGAGCAGGCGCCTGCGTGGCACCCACACTTTCCAAGGACACTGTGCCCAGGACCAGCTCCCGTCTGCCACCTCTTCAGACAAAGCAGATGCCCGGGAGGACACGCAGACAGGAGTTTGGGGGACACGGTGAGCTCCACTCACCACCCGGTGACAGCTGTCACGTTCATGCTGCCTTTCCCGCTACAATGCCATCAGACTCTCGCACCGCCGCCATTGGGCTGGCAGCGAGGGTTCCCCCTTCCCCATTTACAAATAGGAAAGCGGCCCCCACAAGAGCTAAAATCACAATCCAAATACTCTTCACTTCGGGGCCTCAGGCTCGGATTTAACCTTTTCTGTGAAGCCCACTCTGCGTGCAGACGATGCATCAGGGCGCCTCAGCGCGAGAGCGAGCACTGCACGCTCTACGCTCCGAATGTTTTAGACACAATTCCGTATCATGACCACACGCCCAGCGGCAGCAGGACAGGCTTTCAGAGGCCCACATCTGACGGGCTCTGAGTCCCCAGCCACCAGGTCACAGAGCTGTGCCCAACGCACCTTGGCCATCAGATCCCGTTCCCTCCTTTCTGCATTTCTCCGCAGCGCCGAGAGCTCCAGAATTTCCTTGTTCAGAAACTTATTCTGGGTTTTATACCCCTGGAGGCTGTCCTGTTGGGAGAGAAAACCCATCAATTCACACTGGCTGCAGGCTGTTTATTCTGCATGATTGCCCTTGCCCACAGCCCCGCCGAGTTAGCGCCGACACCCCCCCATCGCTGCAGCCACCAGGACCACGTCCACACCCTGTGCAAGCGTCATCTACCTGCACTGACCTCCCTCACGCTCACTTCTTTTTTTTTTTAAATTTTTAAAAACGTTTTATTTATTTTTGAGAGAGAGAGAGAGAGACAGACTGAGCAGGGGAGGGTCAGAGAGAGATGGAGACACAGAATCTGAAGCAGCTCCAGGCTCTGAGCTGTCACCACAGAGCCCGACGCGGGGCTCAAACCCATGAACCGTGAAATCGTGACCTGAGCCGAAGTTGGACGTTTAACTGACTGAGCCCCCCAGGCGCCCCAATGCTCGGTTCTTTCCTAATCAGAGACACAACATACTTCCTGTGGGTTCTCATTTTCATTCACCCACTTTGCACATCGCACACACCCTCAACTACAGATTCACACCCGCAACGACAGCAGACGAGGGGCTCAGGAGAGCAAGGTCCTCCCACGTCCACGTGGAGAATGTCAAACTCTGGAGAAGCCTGGAGGGAAGTACAATGAACCCAACACACTCTTCACCTAAATTCACCAACGGTTAACGTTTGGTGCATTTGCTGTGTTCTAAGAGGCCTCACGTGCCAGCGAAAAGCTCCACCGAGCACAGGGACACATCTGGCTCTGGCCTCGAAGCCTGAGGACAGGAAGCCTGAGGCAGACATGCTCTGCCAAGCACAGCCCTTCATCAGCATGCTTCTCCCGCTCTGCCTGGGCTCCCAGGGAGGCTCTGGCCCCTTGGCCTAGGCCATACCCACGGGGAAATCCCAGGGCCGGCCGAGAGTGGCCAGGGAAGCCGTGGACTCCTGGGCCCTCATGGGGCAGAGACCATAGCTATTCCCCAAGACGTGCCCCAGGCTGGACATCGCCATGGGGATGGGGGCCCACAATCATCCTAAACCCCACAAAGGAAATGATGGATTTCAATGGTCCTTTCAATTGCTAACATTTGTGGGGTGCTTGCTAGGGGTTACAGGGTCAGCGTGACACTCCTGACCTCACTGCACCATGACAACTGTTGGGTAGCCATCCCCAGGTCTCTGCTGCCCATGTGAAGTAGGAGCCTCGGAGCCAGGACCCAGCCTCTGAGAGCCAGGCCGCCGGACTCCCAGCCATTGGCCACGCCTGACCGATATGTGCACACCTTCTGAGTCCACGGACCACACGTCACGATGGGCCCGAGAGACACCTAAGTCCAGCCCCACAGGAGGCCCGGATCCCCTTCCGCAGCCTCAGTCTTCCCCTCCTGGTGGGTGAGAGCTGCTGGCAGCCCAAGGAGGAGAGGGAGCTCCAGGCCGAGCACAGTACACACCCAAGGCCGAGGGACGGTGGCCGAGTGGCACGGGGTGGGTGAAGCGGGAAAGCTAACGATGTCTTCATTGGGAAGTCCTGACTGCTCATCGTAGGAATGGTCTCCTTTCGGTGACGATCACACCAGGGAAGACCCACGAGGCACCAGGACCCCGATCCCAGAGAGACCCCCGAGGGGAGGGCTGGGTGTCAGGTGAACACACTGGGCAGAGGGGGACCCAACCTGCTGTGGTCGGGCCAGCCCACATCTCTTCTCTGCTGCTCATGCTGGCCATGGTTCTGCCTCCACTTTCAAGCCACGCTGGGCGCCATGGGGGTGCGAGGGGTGTGTGATTCCAGCAGACCGGTAAGCCTGGCACGTGGCTAGATGAGTAAACAAGGCTGCAAGTGTGAAGGCTCATGTTGAAGGGGCAAATCACAGGAAGGAGAAAAGGGCAGCACAGGGGAGTGGGGACAGTCACAGGACAGGCAGCCTCAAGACACCGCCCTCGCGGTGGGTCACCGAGCTGGGCTATGGTGCTGGACAAAGCAGAGGTTGACCTACTCTGGACAGAGAATCACAAAGACATGGAAAAGGCCCGGAAGGAAATACGAGAAAAATAAAGTCCTCACATATTAGACTGGAAAAATGCTACGACCAACATTTATTCCTTCCTCAAAACATCCCAGAAAATGACCCTGTATTAGATTAAAGAGAAGTGCCTGCAGATTCCAAACAGCACAAATGTTTACAGGTCGCACACACAGACTCTCGACGGAGGAACCGGGAAGTGACGATGATAGTGAGATGACAGGGCACCACCATTGACACACACAGATGGTCCCCCCCAGGGACATTTAACCTTGGGGACAAGGGAAGAAATCAGTATGGAAACCATGCAGCATCAAGTAGTCGAGGACACAGAGGACCCACAGCACGTCCCCCACTTCTATCCACGTCCCTCACACTGCTTTCAATTCCTGCAGAGTTGCTGGAGAGCTGGCACGGGGTGAGGGTGAGCGTGTGGGGCTGGAGAGCTGCCGCAGGGGTGAGGGTGAGCGTGTGGGGCTGGGGAACCAGTGCAGGGGTGAGGATGAGCATGTGGGGCTGGAGAGCTGCTGCAGGGGTGAGGGTGAGCGTGTGGGGATTGCAAAGCTGCCACAGGGGTAGTGTGAGTATGTGGGATGGAGAACCAGTGCAGAGGTGAGGGTGAGCGTGTGGGGCTGGAGAACCAGTGCAGGGGTGAGGATGAGCATGTGGGGCTGGAGAGCTGACACAGGGGTGAGGGTGAGCATGTGGGGCTGGAGAACCGGTGCAGGGGGGAGGGCGAGCGTGTGAGGCTGGTGCCCGACCATCCTGCCTGGACCCCGTGGCGGCCAGAGAAAAAGTCACGAAATCCCGAAGTGACTGAAACCAGCCCACCCAACATGCCACAAAAACAGAAAGGTAGATCAGGGCGAGAAGTCGAAGTCTCCAGAGGGAGCCGCGTGGACCGAGGACAAGAAGCCGCTGGCCCGGCGCCCGTGAAAAGCGGCCCGCACGCGTCCCCTTGCGGAAACACGAGCAGGCCTTGCGGAAACACGCAGGCTCGCTAAGCATGAACCGTAGTTGACGTCAAACAAGGTGTAAAATGCGCGTCGGCAACGCGGTGTGGTGAAGGCCGGGCGTGTCCTAGGCCGCGTGGCAAAGCCCGCCCGCTGGCAACACCGACCACGACGGTTTCTGGGGTCACAGCTGGGTTCGCAGGAGACGGAACCACGAGGGAAGGAGGCCGGCTCCCCTCGAGGACGCACCCTCCCGGCCTCCCACGTGTCACCGGGAAACGGCCACGACAGGAGGCCGTGCGCACATCCCAGCGATGCTGCTGTCGGCCCAGTGCTACCTCCCATTCTAGAACGCTCTGAGACCCCCGCACGTCCGCCCCTCGCCATCCTCTGCCCTGACAGGCACGCAGCAGGCCCTCGCTAACAACCTCAACGTGGCCAACCTTGGCCTTCGAGGATACACTGCACTCAGGCGCCAAACAGCCTCGGTGCCAAGCTGTCTACAGAATGAGGGTAGCCAGGTGAGGGGTGCGATGGGGCAGGGCCACACCTGCGGCCAGAGACCCGTGTGGGGTCGACGGGACTACACCAGCGTCCCTCTGCAGCCCGACAGGCCACGGGCCCTCGCTCTCCTGGGGGGACGGCTGGCTTCTCTGCAGGCACGGACACCACCCCTGCCTCCCACAGCACCGTGCGCCCCCGACCCGCCAGCTGGTCCCCACTTCGGGGACGACACGGAGACCGAGAGTGTTCAGGAAGTAGCCCCCGCCCCAGGCCCCTCCCACCTTGGCCACAGGGGCGCCGACCCCACCCCAGCCGCCGGGAGCCACGCTCCGCTCCCCGGCCAGGAGCTGAGGCCAGCGGCCACGGACGGCACGGAGGGCGCCCCGCCCAGCAGCCGGCGCCCACGCCCCACTCACTTTCAGCCTGTCCAGCTCCAGCTGCTCCCTGCTGGCGGCGGCGGGGGAGCCGGGCAGACCCGTGGGAGAGGGCGCGCTGTCCTCGCCGGCGCTGAGCTGGTGCGAGAGCTTCATGATGACCTCGTCCTTGGCCTGGATGGTCTCCACCAGCATCCCCAGCTGCTCGCTGAGCTCGCCCACCTTGCCCTTGAGCGCTCTCGCTTCTCGCTGCAGACTCTCTCTCTCCAGGGTGAGCCTCTCCAGCTGGCCGCTGAGGCCCAGGATCTGGTCGTCCTTGCGGTGCAGAAGCTCGAGCGCGTCCCCGGGGACCCCCTCGGCGAGCCGGCTGCCGGCGAAGTACTTGTCATACTGCGATGAGCGGACCGTCTGCTGCAGCAGCCGCACGAGCTCCTGGAGCCAGAGGGGAAGCAGAGACCCTGAGCACGCACGCGGGGCCACGCGGCAGAGGACATGCAGGCGCCCCGCTTCACGGGGCCACGCGGGGCCACGCGGCAGAGGACATGCAGGCGCCCCGCTTCAGGGGGCCACGCGGGGCCACGCGGCAGAGGACATGCAGGCGCCCCGCTTCACGGGACCACACGGGGCCACACGGGGCCACACGAGGCGGAGGAAATGCAGACGCCCAGCTGGGAGGGTGTTAGGACCCAACTTCCTCTCAAAGGCTCTCAGAAGCGGAGAGGAAGAGCCGTTAGCAGCAGAGCCCGTGTGCAGAGAGCAGCAAGAGGAAGCAGGAGACCGCGAACTCGCGCCGTGACCGGCCGTGGCCCCAGCAAGCGCGCGTCCTTGCTGAGAAGACAGAGCTCTGAAACCTTAGCTTGGGTCGAAACAACCACGCGCACTCAGTGTCGTCTGACACCACGTGGCGGCCGCCACCAGCGGTGAAGGGGCGCCGGGCCGGCGAGGCGTTCGTGTTCAGAGAGACCGACGCGCCCGACTGAACAAGCGCCCCCCGCAGCGTGAAACCCCGAGGGGGTGCCTCTGGGGAACAAAACATGCCGAGACCCACGAAAGCCAGGCCTTGCTCTCTGGTGCTGGTGGCTGACCAGGGGGGGGACGACGACAGACACACGAGGACGGAAGTCACCTTCTGACTGGACAGGTCTTTCCTCAGCCGCTCCAGCTCCTCCTGCTGGCTCCGCACCTGCAGCTGCGTCTCGCAGGCCAGCCTGCCGCCGCCGCCGCCCTGGGCGCCCTCCGCGGAAGGGTCCCCACTCACGTGACGGCTCTTGTATGATCCGATCATGTCTCTCAAAGGGCGCTTTCCTTTGTAGGGAAAACGTCCAAAATCAAAGGGAAATCCTGAGCCAGTTACTCCTACATGAAAACAAAACTTGTTTAAGTGCAGGGCAAACCCTCGTTCTGGAGAGTCCAGTGAGACACTGGAGCGTCCCACCCGCTACCCTGCGGGAAGTGCTGTGTCCCTCGCGCAGGGCACACAGGCGGGGAGCGGGGGCGCCTCTCGGCCCGACTCCTCCTGGATGAAAACCAAGCCTAAACTCCAGGAGCGGGACCCGCCCGCACCACGCTCCTCACGTGATCACTGGTGGCGCAAACACTTTCTGCTTGCTCAATTTCTAACGTGCGGCCCCTTGGCACCGGCGACGTTACGAAGAGGCCTCCCTGCACGCGCTCATCGCATCTCCCTGCTAAGTTCCTTTCAGTTCACTCCCCCACATCGGCCACTTCCAGGACCAAACAGAAAGAGATCAGGCCAGAGAGGAGCACGGCGCTCGAGGCCTCTCGGGGCCCCACCTGCACGACAGCGGGTTCCCCGGGGGACCCGCACACCTCAGAGACCCTCGGCTTCCTTTGCTCATCTGTTCCCAGTAAAATAAAACAAGACAAAACCCCTCCATAAATGTACGTTTTCTTAATTGTGAATACGTGCTTTTGAGCGTGAACCCATTCTCTTCCTTAAAAAGGGTATTTTTAAAGGGACACCCGGGGGGCTCAGTCGGTTAAGCGTCCGACTTCAGCTCAGGTCATGATCTCATGGTTTGTGGGTTTGAGCCCCACGTCGGGCTCTGTGCTGACAGCTCAGAGCCTGGATCCTGCTTCTGATTCTGTGTCTCCCTCTCTCTCTGACCCTCCCCTGCTCACATACTCTCTCTCTCTCTCAAAAATAAACAATTAAAAAGTTACAATAAAAAAGATAAAGGGGAGCCTGGGTGGCTCCGTTGTTTGAGCATCCAACCCCTGATATCAGCTCAGATCACGATCTCACAGTTTGTGGGTTCAAGTCCTGCGTCGAGCTCTGTGCTGACAGCAGGAACCTGCCTGAGACTCTCTCTCCCTCTCTGTCTGCCCCTCCCCTGCTTGCACACTCTTTCTCAAAATAAATATTTTTTTAAAAATGGGTATTTAAAAATACTGATGAATCCAAATACGTTTTTGCATCAATGGACTCAAATGTATATTCAAGCTGCAAGGAGGAAACGTGAAATAGTACAAACCACACAGGCCCCGCCAAACTAGAAAACGGGCCCTGACTCCCTGCTGTTTCAGGACAGGGGCTGCCCTGGGAGGGGCCGGTGACCGATGGGGCTGGTCCAGTGTGTGCTCACAGGGAAGACCCTCTGAGTACACATTTCCAGTCAGAGAACCTCGTGTGTTATGCTTGTGATTAAAAAGTCGACTTAGCAGGGGCACCCGGGGGGCTCAGTCAGTTAAGGGTCTGATTCCATTTCAGCTCAGGTCAGGATCTCCTGGTTCGTGCGTTTGAGCCCCACGTCGGGCTCTGTGCTGACGGCCTGGAGCCTGGAGCTGCTTCAGATTCTGTGTCTCCCTCTCTCTCTGACCCTCCACTTGTGCTCTCTCCCAAAAAAGTAAATAAACATTAAATTTTTTTTAATTCCACTTAGCAAACCCTAAGAGGCTCTTAAATACAGAGAATAAACCAAGGGTTGCTGGCCAGGCGTTGGGTGGGGGTGGGTGGGCTGATTGGGGGATGGGCATTAAGGAGGACCCTTGCTGGGATGAGCACTGAGTGTCACAGTAAATGATGAATCACTGAGTCTACTCCTGAAATCAGTATTACTAACTATACACAACTAGCTTGGATTTAAATAAACATTTGAAAAGAAACCGAGCAGGGGACACAGCAGGAGGCAAACACAAAGGGGGAGCAGCTCAGCTGCCATGGGCGACAGGGCGACGACCCTCAGCAGGTACAGGAGGGGTCCACATGCCCATCACCTCCCCGCGGGGTTCCCGGCAGGAAGGCCCCCGGAGGCCCCGCCCCCGGAGGCCCCGCCCCCGGAGGCCCCGCCCCCGGAGGCCCCGCCCCCGGAGGCCCCGCCCCCGGAGGCCCCGCCCCCGGAGGCCCCGCCCCCGGAGGCCCCGCCCCCGGAGGCCCCGCCCCCGGAGGCCCCGCCCCCGGAGGCCCCGCCCCCGGAGGCCCCGCCCCCGGAGGCCCCGCCCGGCCTTGCAGATGCCTCTTTCCAGTTCAGCCCCCGAGCCTCTACCAGACGTGGGGGCCGGCAAGGCCACCCCCAGGGCCCAGGCACCCTTCCTCGGGAGGCGCTCCCGCTCGGCCTCAGGCCCACTGGGCCAGCACCGGGGAGCGCAGCACGGCCGGGCCATGGCTCCCACCCTATCACATGGGACCAAGGGCCTTGAAGGATGACCCAGCAAACGAAGCTAGTGCCGGCCACCCTCCCAGGGGACGGGAAGAGTTTTCCTTTCGTGAACTCTTGCCTCCCCGTAAACACTCCCTACAATCCTGCTCCTCCCCTCAGCCCACTCTAGACTCAAGCATGGGGCAGAACCTCAAAATTGTCATCGTTTTACATGAAACATCAATCCTCTCTCAGGGCCCCCTGGACAGGGCACCACGAATGGCTGCACAGACAGGGTCGGGCTGACGACGCCCAAACTGAAATCCAGCCCCCAACCTGCGGGAGCCAGGCATGCGGTGGTCCCAGGGGCAAGGCCAGAGGGGCACACAGCCCCTGACCCCCCTGCAAAGAGCCCCCTCGTCTTAACTGAAGGTGAGCCCTGACCCGCAACCACGTACGGGGCGCACACAGGCACAGGCACGTAAGTGACCCACAGAAACACACTCGGACTCGAGAGTGAGGGGAATTCCTTGGCAGGGAGACGCTTTCTGCCACACGCACATCACTGCAAAGGGCAGACCGGGGCGGGGGGCTGCTCAGACGGGAAGAGGCCTAAGCAGAGCGGCAAGTAAACCTGCCCACCCGCAGGCTTTGTCAGTGCATTAGCTGCCCTGGCATCACCTCCTGGGCACACAGCTGTGGAACACGTGCAGGGTTAAATTATTCGACCACACTTCACTGTTTCTACGTGTAAGAGCAAAGCTGCCGTAACTTTTTAAATGAGTTATCTCTCAGAGACAGGTACTAGATGAAACATTTAGATGTGATGGGTTGATGTCTAGACTTGACTTTGAAATAGCGATGGTGACCGTGGGGAGGGGGAGGGGCTGGGAGGAAAGAGTGGCCGTAAATTCACAAAGGCACAAGTCGGGCGGGGCCGCGCCCGAATCCATGACCACGTGTTCTACCTTCATGTCTGGTACAGAATTCTGTAAACACAACGTTTTAAAAACAATCCACATGGGGCGCCTGGGTGGGTTAGTCGGTTAAGCGTCCGACTTTCGCTCAGGTCATGATCTCGCGGTTCGTGGGTTCGAGCCCCGCGTCGGGCTCTGTGCTGACTGCCAGCTCAGAGCCTGGAGCCTGTTTCAGTCTGTGACTCCCTCTCTCTCTGACCCTCCCCTGCTCACACTGTCTCTCAATCTCTCTCTCCTAGAAATAAATAAAAAAATATTTAAAAAAAAACAAAATCCACACATCCGTCAAGAGCAACACGAGCCCTGGATGTTTGTGCCCCAACTTCACAGGCCCTTGCGGCTCGTCTCCCACAGACAGGATGCGAGTGCCCACGGCGCCTCCTGCGACGGAAGGGCCCTGGGCCCCGGGGGGCAGTGGGGGGGTCAGGCAGCAGGCCCCGTCCTACCTTTGTTTCCTTCGGGCGCCTGCTTCCTCCTCTCTTCCTGCACCATCGACTCCTCCAGGTCCCTGGGGCTCGGGTCTAAAAGCTCCCACTCTTCATTCGTATAAAACACGCTCTTGCGACTCTCACCGTGTCCTCTTCCAGGACGGAAAGACGACATTGAATTTCTGTCAGGAAAGATGAAGCGTGTTGTTGAAAGAACAGCAAAAGAAGACGTAACTTCACACGCACAACGGGTGAAAACGAACAGATCTGACCTCAAACGGGGAGGACACGGAGGAAGCGGCAGTGCCACGCGGAGACAGCGCCACGCGGCTCCGTTCAAGAGCTGCCAGCCCACGACCCAGCGTGTCCCGAGCTCCCAGACGTGGGCAGGACCGAGGGGGGCGCCCGCGGCAGCACCGCTCACTCTGGGAACAACGTAGCGGTGGGAGCCTGACGGCCACCAGTACAGACACGATAAATACACCTCCGCGGAGCTGGAGCGCGTCCACCCCACAAACGCTCACTGGTGCCCATGGCCACCACTCGAGGTGCCCAGACCCACCCGAGCAGAGACACGTTCCCGTCCTGGAGCAGCACCACACGTGTCACATGGCAAGTGCGCTTTAAAAGCTGAGCAAGAAAAAAAAGAAAATCCAACAATGACGTGTACAACGTGACACATTTTAAAATTAAAAAAAAAATTTTAACTTTTATTTTTGAGACAGAGAATCAGAGAGACAGAGCGTGAGTGGGGGAGGGGCAGAGAGAGAGGGGGACACAGAATCTGAAGCAGCTCCAGGCTCCGAGCTGTCAGCACAGAGCCCGACGGGGGGCTCGAACCCACGAACCGTGAGATCATGACCTGAGCCGAAGTCAGACGCTCAACCGACTGAGCCCCCCAGGCGCCCCTAACGTGACGTGTTTTAAATCTTCGAGTTCACGAAGTCACAGCGGTAACAGACGCTGGGCACGCGTGTGTGGTCAGAGCGTACACGACATGTTGCCCACAGGAAGGTCAAGGTGAGGAGGCCCACGTGCGGCCGAAGAGGCGCAGTGTGGCGGCAGTTTACACCACCAAATTGACACTCAGCGGAGCGATCCCACAACCCCCCCAAGCCCAGGTGTGTACCCAGAGAAACGAGACCATCTCTGCACACAGGACCTGCCCATGGACCTTCACAGCCCCTTCATTCACACGGGGTGCTGGCCCCAAGTGCACCATGGTGAGTGGGTCACCCAGCGGGTCACAGCCATGCACTCTCCGTGCTGTCCAACTATAAAGGGGATGAAATACGAAACGCTCACCAACGCACAGGAGTCTCGGAAAGATCACCGTCAGTGAAGGACGAGAACAGAAGACCACATAGTGTGACTCCATCCACACGTGTCTCGCCAGAGACAGTGACAGCACACGGACCAGGGGCCGCCAGGGGACAGGCTTTGGGGGGTCAGCGCAGGGGCCCGGGGGCGGCGGAACCGCTCAGCGCCTCCAGCACAGAGGTGTTCACACGCCCACGTGCGGGCCCTGCACACGTCACGTAAGCGAGTTAACTACGCAAGTTACACTAAGGTGGTTAAAACACAGCTGTGTCGTGTGGGGTTTCCCGAGGCTGAACGAACAGGAGAGGAGGAAGGGGGTGCACGTCTGTGGGGAGCAGACAGAGGACACCCTCACGGACAACAGTCACGTCCCAACACGCAGTGTGTCTGTAAAGCGTCACTGTTTTTGCCCGACAGGAACCGTACTGAAGTGCTTTTAACACAAACGCAGAGAAACCACTTCAGTTCCCGCCACTCCATCCACGTCACCATCCACATCACCACCTGCTCCGCCAAGCGCCCCCAGAGCCGGGCACGGACACCGGCTCCAGGCTCACAGAGCGTACGTGGACCAGAGCAGCGCCTTCCCCGGGTTGCTTACGCGGGTGCCGGCGCCCGCCGACCCCCCCCACGGGTTCCCGCCGTCACCCCAGCGAGGCCTTGCAGAGGACGGCACGTTTGCAGAAGGAACCGCTGCAGAACAGCTGCTCCGGAAGAAAGAGAGAAAGAGAAAGAAAACCTGCCGATCTCTTGGACACAACTGGTTAGTTACTTGGCTGTGCGCGGGTGCCACCGGACCCACAACACGGCGGTTTCAGTGGCCCGGCCGTGGCCGCCACGGACATGCAGCATGTGGGCACCAGCCCTGAACAGAAGGGGTGAGGGGCTCTGAGCCCCAGGTCTCATGGGGAGAGCACGGGAAGGAGACGGGGGGGGGAGGGGGCGGTCTGGGGCAAGAACAGCTATTTACACAACCTGAAACTTGCATGCACACCCCGCACCCCTCTGTCCCCTCGGCCAGGCTGCTTGCCCCGGGCCGGGCTCTCCCTCACAGGGACACACACCTGCCAAGCCCCAGGCAAGGAAGAAACAGGATCAGGCTCGAAGCGAAAGCTCCTTAAGCCAAAACAGCACAGGGCCCTGTGAGGTTCAGAGGTTCTGTGGCTGCGACACGAGGCCCCTGAACACACGCGTCCCGCCCGCTCCAGCCAAGGACGGCCAGGACCCGGGTCGCAGCCCCTCTGTGGGCAGCCCTTGCTCTTTGAAGACCCCACCCTCCACTGACAAATCTTTGAGATGCTTCCATGTCCCCCAGGCGCTGTGACGGGCATCTGCTCTTTTGTTCAATAAATGGACCAGAACAGAAGGTGAGAGGCCGCCAGGAGGCCAAACGGCACCTAGTGACCTGCCAAGTTCAGCCGGAACTTTCCGTAAACATAGCCATCTCCAGAATCGACAAGAAAAGCTTTGTTTCCAAATTTACGTATTTCAGATCGACTTCTCCACAGACATTCACAATGTCCAACCAACAATTTTTTTGAGACAGACAGACAGACAGACCAAGAATGGGGGAGGGGCACAGAGAGAGGGAGACACAGAATCCGAAGCAGCTCCAGGCTCCGAGCTGTCAGCACAGAGCCCGACGCGGGGCTCGAGCCCACGAACCGTGAGATCATGACCTGAGCCGAATCCACTGAGCCCCCAGGCGCCCCGAGAAATAACTTATCCAACACAGGTTCAAGCTGGGACCCAGGCCTGACAGTACTGCTGGGGAGCGCCCTGCCCGCTCGGGTCGGGCTCCACCGGCTTCCCCAGTGGCAGGAAGGCTCCCCACCCTGGGCACAGGCTGCATCGGGGTCACCAACGGAGGGGACCCAACAGCTGCCCCCAGTGACAGTGACTCAGCCCGTCCTCTCGTACAGATCAGGTCTTGCACAAACTCTCACGAGAACACGGACGCACACAAAGCCAACCAGAGACACCATCTGACTGGAAGGGGCCTATGGATATGACTACGGACCTCGAGACGGGCGCATCAGTGTCATCACAGGAGGGAGGAGGGGGGCGCGCCACCGGCCCGGGGCGGCCGCAGCCGCCAGGAGCTGGGCAAGGCCACAGACGGACTCCCTGAGGGGCTCCAGGAGGAACCAGCCGCGGACGCCCTGGCAGCAGCCGTGGGACATGGGTCTCGGACTTCTGGCTCCTGACACGGTGACTGGCTTGCTCACAGACACGGGCTCCGAGACACGCTTCTCATTCCAAACCTCGGCAGGCACTCAAGTGTGGGACACCACGTCTACGGGGAGAGCCATTTACCGCCGACCAGACAACGTGGCAAAGCGGGGTCGTCAGGAAGGCGCTCTGCAAGGGGCCCATCCACCTGACGTGGATCAGTGTGTACGCCGTCCTTCCCCTCGTGAACCCGCTACGGCATCTAGTGCCACGTGCCTTGAGAGCCGCCCAGTGCTCAGCACCTGCACCACCTGTGCCCAGCACCCCAGCTCCCGGCACGTGGCCCCGGGGACTCCCCGCGTCCCCCCTGCAGGGCCCTCCTTGCACTTCAGCGCCTAAGTCGACCCCCGCCATCCCGCAGGGCGTCCCCCAAGGCCCCTCAGTGCAACCAGGGGGGTGGAGGCCGCTGGCTCAGCCCTCCCCTGCGCCCCGCCCGCCCCAGCCTCCCGACGGCACAGGCGCTCGATGGCAGGAGGCAGAGGCCACGGGAGGCAGGGAGGTGGCTGGGACGGATGCCAGGCTGCGTGGCTGGCATGGTCCTTCAGAGACTGCTGCTTGGGGTGACCCCGGGGAGCCACGAATTCTGAGGGTTGTGAGGAGCACGCTGCCATCGCACCGGAAGGAAAGACGCTACTCGGCTTCATCATATCAACGCTGACATTCCACGAGGTCTGTCGGGGCCGTGTGCTCACACGGTGTGCACGTCCACACGGACGCGTGCGCCAGTCTCCGCACTCCCGGGGGGAAAGGCGGGCGCCGCTGCTCTGGAGGCAAACCTGTCCCAGGAGCCGTGGGCAGGGATGCCGCTCTCACCCAGCACAGCAGGTGCATGGGGCGTCCCGCCCGGGTGGGCGCTGCGCCAGGGGCTCCCAAGGGGGGCGGGCCAGGGTGCAGAGGGGTGAGAGGGCTGTGGAGACGCCCGGGGTGGGGGTCCCCGGGAGAGGGAACGCTCCCAGCAGGGGGACGGCCTGAGGAGGGGCCTGGAGGCGAGACTCTGCACCTGCGGAGCTGGCGGAAGCCAGGCAGCCGGCACTGAGGAGCCGCCCGGGGGACCGCGAGGCATGTTCAGAGCACGGCCTCGCGCCCAAGGCGAGGAGAAGCCCCTGAAAAGCCTGAAGGAGCAGGAAGACGTGATTCACGGTCACGGGGACTGGGTTCCCTGCACCAGGAGGGTCCAGGAGCAGCACACAGTGCAGACAGGGTCCCCTTCCCAGCCCCCAACTCCGAACACGACAGCAGACACGGGCCGGGCCTGGCAGGCTGACATCCACGAGCCCGAGCTCCCGCGGTGGCCACAGCGGTTTCCAGGCAGCGGCATCTCCCGCAGGTGATGCGTGGCCTCAGAAATGAAGTCCAGAGATAGTAGAGGTCAAGGGAGAGGCCAGATGGATGCGCGGAACATGCGCTCACACTCCCCCGGGGCTATAGAGCCCATAATCACCGCACCCCCGGGGGCCAGGGCCCTCCACCCCTTCTCTGTGCTGCCCTTTGGGGAGCTGTGGCTTTAACACCAGTGCCGGGGAGCTGGGGGGCTCAGTTGGTTGAGCGTCCCACTCTTTTTTTATTAAAAAAATTTTTTTAATGTTTGTTTATTTTTGAGAGAGAGAGAGACAGAGAGTGAGCAGAAGAG